CCCCCCCCAAAAAACCCCCCCCCCCCCCAATAAAAAAAACCCCCAACAACAACAACAAATTGACACGATTCCTTTAACGCAAGCAAACGGTATATTTGCGAGAAGCGACACATGTACTTCATGTGCATATGTGAAGAAAGTGCATCTTCGAAACTAGCTGAACGACAGTTGTGGTTGTGGTTGTGGTTGTGGTTGTGGTTGTGGTTGTGGTTGTGGTTGTGGTTGTGGTTGTGGTTGAGATTTCGGATAGAATGTTTCCCTGAATAAGCAAAAACCTTACTGTCCCCCTGTTCTGAAGAAACAGGATCACAACGTAATAGAAATATACTATCCAATCAGCAGCGGGCCAAAAGTAATGTTGCGGCACACTTCGAACTACCATGCACAAACCAGAAACACAAAAGTGCATATTTCGCAGCAGGAATGCTGTTGTCTATCTTTTTGAGTTAAAGGAAAAGAGAACAAAACTGAATACTCTGAATATATAATGCACTATGTTCCCTTTACAGAGTGACCAAGACAGCTCTTCTTTAGAAGTGGTGTGGAATGAACAGAATGAGTACCGTCAGTGAGTTAATCTGCTGTCTAAAATTTAGTGAAATGGTGTAGGGTTTAACGCCTCTATCAACACTGTTTGGTTATTTAAGAGGCGGGATCTCCGAGTTTAAAGTCCATCTCCGAAAGGACCGAGACAAGAGGAAAATTCGTGTTAAGTACCTTTCCCAAGATCACAACGTCGGATTGAGCTGAGGCTCGAACCCCCGAACACGCAATCTCATGATTGCGAGCCCGGTAGCTTAACTACAAGGCTACCGACGCCACTTCTACTGGCCAGGACACGAAAAACCCATGATAATCTGCTTTAAAACTTTTTAATCTGCAGATCCAAATTCAGTTTTGTGTTCTTATCAAGCATAGAAATAACCTTATCTGCGTTCGTTGTGTCACGGTTAGGAACTTCGTTGTCCAATTTCAGAGTAAGGAGACATTTTTTTCAAGCATTTCGGTCTTTCTGTTGGGATGTTCTGTCGTTCTTAGCCCAGGTTAACCCTGACAGGAAGGGTCGAAAGGCTGCCGCCTAACTGATCTAAATTGTGTTGATGAGGGCGCATAATCACATACATTAAAAAAAAAGCAATCACCTTGTGCTCGTTGCAAATCACAGTGAGAACGTGAACTGTAAAGCTACATTATAATCGGTGTAAAATGAAGGAAGGTCAAACAGCACGCACATAAGAGTCATGTCATCATTTTGGAAGGAGAGGATAACGGTAACGTTTCGTGAACATGCAAATAAAGCTTTACTATTTATGAATGGTGGCAAAAGCTATATTCTACCCATCAAAAGTTCCACAATTCTTGAAAAAGTTGCAAGCCAACCTTGAATGCACATCGCACCCCGCCCCCCTCCTTTTTCCACCTCCTGGCACGAAGAGACGGATAGAGAGCGAGAGCAGAGAAAGAAAGTGAGAAAAAGAGAGTCACGAAATACAAAGACAAAAAAGTGCAAATAAGAGAAGGCATGTTCCTAATATTGTCCTAGAAGCGAAAGAGTTACTTTGGTGATCACAGGACAGCTTGCTAAAAGTCAGATACATTCATATATTAATCAGTTCAAGGGCGAAGTATAAGATATAACCTTAAGAAAGTATTTTCAAATATCTGTTTACATAGTCACACTGAGTACAGTTAAGACTAAAATATTCTTCCAGGTTATATAAACTGGAATAATACCAGGAGAATTGCATAATAGTCTTATAGTTGAAATAAGAAAAACAAAAAAACAACGAAATAGTATAAACTGTGGGTAAAATTCATGCGCGCTGCATTAAAAAAGTATTAAAACAAAAGCAAACCAGAATCTATCATTTATTTTCTTAATCCAAGAATGGAAACAAAATACCTCGCAGTGAGTTGATCTGAACGTTTAAACCTCCGCTCTCAAAGTGCCAGGGTAATACGCGCAAACGCAGTCAAGTATAAAAAGTGGGAGATGTCCTAAATGGCAGGTCGTTTGCATCAAGTGGTTGCCGCAGATTGTGAAGCCAGGAACGCTGCAGTGAGGCGGGCTAAGCTAGCGGCTAGTGGTTTGCCGGTGAGCAGCACTCTCTCTGCAACTTAGTCGAGTCTGGCATTGTGGTGTATAAAGAGAAAAAAGAGGGAGGAAGGGGTACTCTGTTTTTCCCCTCAAAAAGGGCGTGGTTTACAAACACGAGGGGGAGTTCAGGGCGACTCTCGGTGAGGCAAGGGGAGATATAATGAGAGGCGTTTAGGTCAACGTGTCTCTGGAATCTACTGTGGTGCCGAGGCTTATGCAATGAGTGTAGTAAAGTTATCAAATTTAAGTTTGGTAACCTGACACTTTGTGGCATTTGTGGTCCGGACACGATAAATTACTTGTCAAATGTTCAGCTACAGAAGTAATTGACTAACCACAGTAATCTCAGGGGAAACGAAAGTTGACACTTTTCTCCCGATTCATAAAAACGTTTAGCGTAAGGCCTCCCTCGACGAATTTTCGTTTCTTTTCTTTTCTTATCCTTTTCATTTTTTGAAAAAGGGAGACAATTTAACAAGATCCAGCTGAAGTAAAGGGGGAAACAAGAGACGTAAGTCTTATTCCTGAAGAAAATAAAAGCGAAACTAAAAAAAACTAACGCCCCCATTCTTGCCGTGTTCTCAAATTTCGAGTGTTGAAAGCATATTTACTTAAATAGCAGACAAGAGACAACATAAAAGTTGGATTCGGGTGGAGTCTTATTCAAAACTGCTGTTCAGCACTTACCCTATAAAAAAAAGTTGTAATACACTGTTCAAAAGTATTTTCCCTCTTATTTATGCAGAGTGTTGTGTTGGGTGTCTAATAGGCTACATGAATCTAGAAAATTGTTTCTTCTAACAGTCACACAAAGCTAGACAAAAACTCTGCTAGAGAACTTAGCAGGTCTAAAAACATTTGGCTAATTAGCTGAAAAAGGTGGTCGTAAACACGTTTTGTGTCTATTGTTGTGGTGGGTGTCCATAAACAGAATTCTTGACTTCGAATCATTTGGGGGGAAGGGGGTTGAAACGGGGAGCGGGAGGGGGGGGGGGTGTACATTCATACAATCGCCATCCGTGACTTATTTGGCATCTTTCGTCTGAACAGGAATGTAACCCCAGATATCGTTTGAGGTCCCCCTAGACCCCAAATTTTAGTGGTCATGGTCGGTAGAAAATGCTTTCAAACTGAGGTTCAGCTGACAACCATTATGCCCTTTTACCTGGTGGAGATGCCTCAGAAAACATCACATAGAGAACACAGACACTTCCGTATATCCTCGGAGCAAAGCTACATTTCTAATGCGGGGAACATGGACTCAAATTTGAAAAGTCGGAGACATTTATTCTGAAATAAAGTGGAGAGTGTAGTTTACTGGACAGCATTGAGAGATGCTCGTCCCATCCTATTGGAGTTTGGCATTATTTGTATATAATATATA